AGAGCGCCGATCGACCTTACCGTCCGAAGACCCTCTGCCACAGTCCGGTATCCGAAGAAGATCCGGAATTCGTTGTGTTCTAAAGCCACCTTCCTTGCAATTGATCCTGCAACAACAACCACTACCACGCTGTGGACCTCGTCGAAATAGACGGTTGAGCTGTCATAGCAGTGGCTGCTGTAAGGACAACATGGATATTACATCAAAGAGAATACTGTAAACTGCATAGTAAGTGGTGCTCATGTGTGGTACACGTAGCCGGACTATCTAGCTTTGTCGGTCACTGCGCCTAACCTAGTTTCTCTGATTGGTTATGTTCTTTTGGCAGCGTCGGTGTGAAGTAGATGCAGCCATAGTCTACTTTGCAAGGCACTCCTGGGCCACATGATGGACTTCGTAATTTGTGATAGTTGAATTGTCGTGTCAGCCCAAAAACTGTATTACACAGTTCAGTTTTATTCAGGTGAAGATGGGTAAACGCCTTTGAGGTCCCGTAGGGCGTTTTCCTAGCCTGAGGGTTTTCACTACTGACGCTTCGTCTTCAGGTTGCTGAATTGAGTTCAGAAGGCCGTGGAACAGGTCGAGGTCTACTAAAACACGGTCTTTTAGCATGTCTGCATTCGCCTCCCAAAGGTCCTATATTATCAAGCACTTTGCTTTTAAAACATCTTTTCCCTGGTGCAATTTTGAAGGTTGTGTAAACAGCAAAATTTATTGACATAAAATGACCAACAGTCAGTTCCGAAAAAACCCGTCTTCATATCCTTGCCATTTAAGCGCGACAGAATTTTGAATACCATCAAGAGACGCTTACTTAACGCATACTATGCTGCTGAACTCATAATTTGCAATACAACAAAGCACTTACCAATTTCTTGTGCGAACGATGCCTTTCCATTGCACGCCACTTCAACTTGTGTTTACGAATTTACATTCACTTGCGCATGCGAGTACATAGGGCGAACGCAACGGCAATTGGCCGCCAGATCCAAGGAGCACTCCCCGTTCATCGATAACTGAACATCTGCTAGATACGGGCCATTCTGTGGATCCCAAAACTCATTTCCGACTACTGGTTCGGGCATGAACATCTCGTACCTTACGCTACCTGGAGGCAGCCTA